GAGTGCTCTAATATTCCGACTTTTCATTAATGGGTTACAAAAGAGGGCTGCACTTGTGTGTACAAGGGGGAGAAAAGGGAGGGGGAGGATATAGAGAAGACAAGGGCTTTAGCAAGGCTGCCTGTGCTTCATTTAATATAACCAAGAAACTTCATTGCTGGCAACGAGCTTTAATACAGTTGACTTCTCTCACCAGCACCATCCCCTCGACACACACACACACACACACACACACACACATCTCCCCCCAGCACACACCCTCTCCACCCAAGACCCCTCTGAAAGAATAGCTGAATGAGCAAGAGTAGAGTGGGCAAAGGAAGGGAAATTGCTTTTTTAATAAGCAGTCTATTCAGAGCTCCTACTTTTCAATAAAGAGGAGGCTGGAGAAGTCCTGGTCTAATTACCTCATCCTCACACTAGACAAGCTGGCCCTTTCATTAGAGATTGAGGTCATATCATATAACTTGATGAGCCATCATGGGCACAACACGTTCAGCAGTTATTTCAGCGGCGGCGGCAAAATGACGGGCGGCCCATCAAGGTTGTAAAAACAACTAGAAGTAAAAGAATAATTAAAGAATGTCTACCAAGGGACACTAAAACTAGGTGGGAGAGGATAAGGTCACCCTCGCAGAAACACGTAGATTGTTTGCTAGTGCGACACTAATGGAGAAACTGCCTCGTTGAGCCAAAGGGTAGAGGGTTGGTTGCTAAATCAGTCAACTAAGCACAGGTCCTTTTTTGCTGAGTCTCAAGGGGCTATTTATACATTTTGCCATGATTGGGAGTTATTAGATGGAAAGGATTATGTGTTGTTCAGAATTTTTGTGAGACCACCAAGCTTGTGCTGTACCTTTAACAGATATTCCTGCAATCCCTCAGCAAAGACACCTATGCACATCCATGCATCCATGAAGCACACCAAGCTCCCACTGCAAAGCACTGGGCAAAGAAGTCTTTGTCTATTCTCAGCCCTGTTCAAAGTAGTCTGTGGCACAGCCAAGACTGGTTCATGCACGTCTGGCTTCAGGAATAGATGTAAAATGGGCAGTTAGAGGAGCTGAGCAGGAATTCAGAAGAGCTGGCATCAGCCTCCTGCTCCATCATCACCTTGCTGCGTAACCTTAGGAAAGGCATTCAGCTTGTATCTCAGCTCGTATCTCAGCTCCTTCCTGCTTGAAATGGCCATAATCATCTTTTTCTGGAGCTCACAGGGACATTTAACACGTTAGAGGCCATAAGAGCATCTTAGTTATACACCAAGTTCAAAATGGTTCAGTTCCCACATGGCACAAATCAAGGCTGTCTGTGCTCCTCTGATTCACACCCAATCAAATCCACGAGTGCTTGTTCAAACAACCAAACTGGGTTAGTTCAAAGTGGTTTCAGACTGTCATAGTCCCTAGGTCAGCATCTCCTGCTGCACCAGGGTTGGAAAGCCCACACGGCAGCAGTTAGTTGATAGGCAGTTTCTCTGGAGAAAGATGAGTAGAGGAAACGTGCTGAGTTTCATATTTAACCTGCCACCTTCATCAAAAACATCAATAAATTCAGCAAGGGAACCTCACGCTGCCTGCTGAATCCTCCTCCTCCATCCTACCTCATGCTGAACCTCAGCCTCCACCACCACTCTGCTTGCAGTGGGCCCAGGAGGAAGGAAGCAGGCTGAGCCTGATGTTGATTTACACCCAAGTGAAAACAATGCCAGAGACATTCCATCAACCACACCAAAAAGGTCAATGCCCAGGCTTCAGATCACTTTTGATATTCTGAAGCCCAAAGCAAGTGCTGCAAGTTTTGACCTTGCCATTACCAAGCCAGCCTGGGTCCTCATCTGACTAGAAGACCTCTGATCATCATCTCAATGGCACCACATTGTGTCAGTGGGTCAGGTCCACATATCCTGACTATATAGACCTATGTTCTCCTGATCATGAACCACCATCCTCCTAAAAGCTTCCTTCTCTTGTTCTCTGCCTGGCTTCGTGGTGCTGTTGGGAGCCTGGTGGGCTGCTTGGCTTGCCTTTCAACCAGACTATGGCCCAACTATTTTAGGAGCATAAACAGAGAAATCATTTCAACTGCTGCTGCAATTAGGCAAGGAAAGCTGTCAGACAGCAATACCAACTCGACAGACACGGCGTGGGTGGACAAAAATAGGAACACTGGATCACTGACCTGCAGCAAAGGTCTTTGACTTGGATTGCCATGAGGGCTCACAGCGTCTGGAAAACCATCACAACTGTTACTCAGCTGTTTAGCTGCAGATAGTACACGAGAGCTCTGAATCCACTGCCAATGACCAGAGCCTGACTGCGCCAAGTGGAGGCAGAGGATGCAGAAGGGTCCCTGACATCTCCCTTCCCCAGGGAATGAACTCACAGTGGGATCAGGACTTAAAACAAGGCAGAAAGAAAGGGGAGATCTGCTCCTTCCAGCTCATCCTTGGAGTTTGTTTAGCTCAGTCACACAGTGTAGAGCAGAGGTGATAAATAAGGACACCTAACCTAAATTCAGGGCTGGGTCTCAGCCATACAGACGTCAGAGTTAGGTCAAATCCCTTGGGCAAGTGTTTTGTCCCACCACCATTGGGAGATATTCATGGAGTTACAATAATGAGTCAAGAGCACCTAAAGCCACAGCCTGATTGGTTTTGATGAGACTGTATTATGAGTCTGGAAAGGGAGGAGAGCTGAGACATCTCACAGCAATCCCCAGCATGAAATCACAGCCTCCATGGACCATCTTCTCCATTTTCAGTCCCATCTGCTCCACAGCCAACTCCAAAGCGTTGGGATGGGCCCTTGGGAACAACCGACCACGAGGATTAAAACAAATTTCATCGCCCTGCAAAGCCTTTTTCACACGCCAAAAAGCTGCAGCCGGAGTTCAGAGGCACTGAGCCTTTTAATCCAGAGGCAGAAAAGCTGTCAGCCCAAGCCAGACACCAGCTAAATCCAGGATATTTCTAAGCCTGATCTCAGCGCTGTCTAGGAGCATCTGGTGGTGGGGAGAAGGGGGAGACTCTTTGCTGGTGGCATTCTGAGGAATGGCATTTGATGCATACGCACGGGAACAACTGAGCTGGGGTGGTGATTCCTAGAATGCACAACTGGCTGGGCTGCACTTGCCTGGGAAACTGGAGACCCAGGTCCCCCATCCCAGCCCCAACCCTCCATCCAATCACACGGACAATAACAAGGCTGGGAGGTTATTTTTAGCCCTACAGTATGTCCCCCTTCGAGGTTGGAGCGATGAAACCCTGATCCTAGGCACCTGTGCTGGCCAATCTGAGGGGTTTTTGTGTTCGAGCAACTCAGGGCTAGGTACAGCAAAGCAGATGATGGGAGAAGGTGGAAAGTCCCTTCCATCCCCAGCTCTTGGTGGGATGACCCAGTAATCGCAGATGCTTTGTCCTTTACATCAATCCTGCAGGGAAGCCCCCAAGCAGGAGGGTACAAGCTCATGGGGTAGAGAGCAGAAAAGCCTCCAGCAGAGAGGATAAAGATGGGAGAAGAAAAAAAGCAGGGAAAAAAAAAAAGGGACTCTACACCCAAGCACTGTCAGCTGCAAACTCAACAGCTCTAGGTGATGTGCAAGGCTTCTGTCAGACACGGCTGAAGGGACTTTTAGGACTGAGGTCAGACAGAGAATAATATCTCCACCCTGGTCCCCTGCCAGGTGTTTGTCCAGCCAGCTTTAAAAACTTGGCTATGGAGGTGCCAGACTGTCCACGTTCTACTGAACTGCTGCAAGAAAAGCATCCGTCCACCTGTGATGTGGCAGCAGAAATCCCTTCCTCCTTGTCCTACCTTGTGGAAGCCTGAAGAACCTGTCTTTCCATCCCTTCACAGTGTGACACTGTCCTGGTTTAGGTTGGGATAGAGTTAATCTTCCTAGTGTTTTGGGTTCAGTTGTGAGAATCATGTTGATAGCACACTGATGGTTTAGTTGTTGCTCATGCTTAGTCAATGACTTTTTGGTTTCCTACTCTCTGCCAGCAAGGAGGAGCACAAGAAGCTGGGGTGCAGCATGGCCAGGACAGCTGATCCAAACTGGCCAAAGGGATATTCCATATCATAGGGCTTCATGGGCAGTGTAGAAACTGGGAGAGTTGGCCAAGAAGGCTGAACTGCTGCTCAGGGGCCAGTTGGGCATCAGTCAGTGGGTGGTGACCAGTTGCACTGTGCATCACCTTTCTTTCTTGGGTTTTATTTCTCTCTGATATCTTCCCTTTCCATTACAATTATTATTGTATTCTATTTTATATCGATTATTAAACTATTATTTTCTCAACTGATGAGTTTCACCTTTTTTGTCTGATTCTCCTCCCTATCCCACCAGGGCAGGGAGGAGTGAGCGAGCAGCTGCGTGGTGCTGGGTCACCAGCTGGAGGTTAAACCACAACAGACCCTCTCTTCCCTGTGGAGAGCCAACAATCATTGTCCCCATCTCATGACTCCCAGACTGGACAGTGCTCTTTATTTCCCTCTGGTCTCCCTCCACCATTTCTGTCTTGAAGCACAGGAACACCACCAACCCACAGTCCCATAACTAAGATTTCATCACTCCTTCCATGGGGCAAAGCTGGAAGTGGGCAGATTCAGGCTGG